AGATTTGAACAGGAGAACAGGAGGCAGTGAGGTGAACAGAGTCACAAGCTGCTCCAGCAGTCCCTCAAAAAAAAAAAAGCCATTTTAAATTATTCCATGCCCAAAAGTTATTTATGGGCTCATAGGTTATTCTTATCCCCTGCTCCAGTGAAATTCATTTAGCCCAATCTCTGTGGGGAGGTAGAACCCACCAAGTGCCTGTGCAGCTCCATTCTCCCAGGTTTGGATGGAAATTCAGGACAATGTTACAATTTTAAGTAAAGATCCTCAGAAACCAAGTCTGGTCTTTATTGCTGCTTGGCAGGAGGGCTACAAAGGGTTAAAGTCATTTCCACATTCACTTGTGGCCTAGCTGTCAATTTTCAGGAGCCCAGTTTAATATTCTTCCTTATTTTCCATACTTTCCACATAGCAATTTAAAATTTAAATGACACTGAGGGAATGCATATGCAATCTGTTCTATAAATAAAAATGTCTAAAATACTGCATAATTTCCTCTTTCAAAATGCAAGATGGAAAGACATATTTTAAGAGTTGTAAGACACCACGTCTGACATCACCAAATTACACTCAGTTCAGGCTTAACCATAATTCCTGAAGATTAACAAAGTTTGGGGTTTCTTTCTTAGATCAAGTTCATCAATTCTTTGCAGAGGGCACAACCTCACCCTGGCAGCTGATATTTCACCTGAGCACAGCAGGCGTGAAAGGAGAAGGTTCCAGAAGTGCTCTCACATTAATGGTGTGAAGACCCTCAGCTACCAACAAGTCCAAGCTGTCAAGGCAATCAAGGTGGCCTTCCCAGCCAACACTGACAAGGCCATCCCAACTCATCTACAGGGTGAGGGGAACTGAAACAGCATTCAGCAGAAATTTTGGCAGAAATTCTTCACTAGTTACAATGATCTCAGTACAGGGTGAGAATAAACATCTTTAAGAAACATGATTTAAGAAACAGCTACACAGAGGAAGGACAAACACACCAGGATATTCTGGGAAGTTCTCTCAAGAACAAAGACATCCAAACCCCTGATCAACAGATGAACAATTACTCCTGTGTGTTTAATGCAGAATCAACAGAGAGTCAGTAGTTTAATTCATTGAGTACATGACAGAGCAGTGGAGAGCTCACATGTGAAGGCTGTCACCTCACCAGAAGACTGCAAAGAACTGAAGTGCAGCAACAATAACCACAGGACAGGAAGATCTTGGCAGAGCTACACTAATAAATACACATTACTTCTCAAACAACAAAATAGATGAACCCTGAGGATCTTTAAGGAGTTAGCCCACAAAAAAAAAAAACAAAAAAAAAAAATAAAGGAATTGAATACTCCTAGTTCCATCCCATGCTATGCACAGTGGGTTAGAAAACTTCACCTTAGCACATGGAGGTCCCTGCCACAGAGGCAAATGGCAGGAATCCTGAAATCCTGGAAACCTGCTGAATGTCTGAAAGAACAGGAACTTGCAGGGGTGAGGGACTGTTCTGATCTGCTCAAGCTGAAAAGAGACAAGTTTTGCCTTGATCTACAAATGCAGGAAGGAATTAGGTTCTGAACATACCCAAAACAAAGATTAAAACACAAACAAGGTTAAATGTTGGGATCCAAAGTAGATAACTCAACTTCATTTCTTGGCAGAGGAGGAAAGAAGGAGAAAATAGGGAAGTAGGAGAATGCCAGCAATGATGATGAGAAGCACAGGAAAGGGTCACCCCAGCACTGCTCACAGAGTGCATGGCAGATCTCCCTGGGTGCCACAGGACACCCCAGGGTCCCTCCCAGAGCTGCCCAGCCAGGGAGCAGAGCCAGGGCAGCAGCACCAGCAGGGTGGAGCAGCCAGGACAGCAAAGACTCCAGCACTTTGTAGACCTCACAGATTTTTGGGCACTTGCTTAGAGAGGATTTTGTGAGTGGCAACCTCACATCCACCTCCCAGAACAGCACATCACTGGTGACCTCCATCTCTGCTCCCCTAAAATCCATTGGCTGCTCCTCAGTACCCAGGCCAAGCTCACCTGATGTTCCCAAGTTCATTCCTCCCTTCCCTAACAGATCAACACCAAGGTCTTTCAGTGATCTTCTAACAGGTGCCTCATTTTCTAAAAGGAAGCAGTTTAAAGCCTTCACTTTCAAACCTCCAATCTTCCAAGAGGCAATGGAGAAACATTCCCAACTCTGTACTCATTCACCAAGGACTGCCTGGTGAGTGGACAGTCACATTTCCTTAGCAGCTGTCTCCATATAATTATGTTGACATAACAGATGAGCCAACTCAGAATTATTTGCACTCAATGCAAGCCACAACCCATTTAAGTTGTATTAACATTATCAGTGAAGAGCCACAGTAAAATAATGGTGATTTTTTCCAAATATCTGACATTATTCAATTCAAATTCACTGAGCTGTACACACAGTTTTGTTTCAAAAAGCATCATGCAAAAGATAGTTTCAATTCCAAGCAACTTTGCAACTGCACATTTTAATTCTTATTTAAAGAAAGTGATTCTTAATTGTTACCATTAAAACATAATAGCTTGAGATTAGAGGTTTTACACAGAATTTAGTACCTCTTTTTGCTTTGCAGAAGACTGCATTTTACATATTTATGCAACTAAACAGCTTAATTTTAAATCAAACTTTTAGCTTCCATGTGGTTAAAATAGTGACTGACATCTCCCATTTACTTGATGATATTCTTTATTTAGATTTGCCAGGCTGCATAGTTGGAGATTCAAGTAAATTCAAGTAAACATAGACAAGCTGTATTTTAAAATGCATGATTCAATTCAAACATTAAATTTTGTTTTAAACACAAACCAGTTTTGAATGCATTTGTGTTCCATTAATAGAAGCAAGAGTTTCTAATTAATAGATCTAGATTTCATTGGAACAAGTAAATCTCAGCAGCTGAACTTCTAATTGGAGAATAAATCAGAATCCCAGCTTCAACTGAACTAGCAAATGAACAGAATTAAATTTAAAAATGAGAAAATGTTCCTTTTCTGTGTCTAGAGGCAGCTAATTCCGAGAGAAAAAGGGTTAGAAGGTCAAGTTCCAGAGCCAAATGTTTAGGTGGTAACTTCTCAGCTTAAGAGTTTTCACTTCTATTTATTCTAATTTTAAAAATTAACTGCAAACTACCCAAACTTGAAATACAAGAATAGGATTTAGCAGATAGTAGATAGTCAGTAACAAGCTTTAAAAATATGAAGGAAAGAACATATTCAAGTGAAAACTGACTTTCCAAAAGAGTGAGTTTTTCTCCACCCTTAGCAACTGGTGACTTTCTATGCAGCATAGAAAAACAGGAAAATCTGAGCACTCTTGAACTCCAATACCACTGCATTAATTCTGTTTTCTAATTAAACCTTCAATTGATTAACAAAACCTGGAAATTTCAGTCATGTGGCATCAGAGAACTCTAATGACACCTTTTTACTGGTTTATAAGGGAACAGTTCACAGTAAAACTGTAACCTAATCCTCTGCCTTCAATTCTCTTGCTTTTGTCCTTTACTACAATTCAAGACTGAAGGTTTGTTGGTTTATTTTTCCCTAATATTCCAATATTTTTATAAGAACTATAAATTTTAAGTAATTTTTCTATGCTAAATGGACTCTTGCACAACATCAGGTTGGACTTGATGATCTTGGAAGCCTTTTGCAACCTTAATGATTCTATGGTCACACAATATCAATCTCAGCAGAGTTTCCAAAAAAAATACAGGCCAGAAATACACTTCTGGCACTTCTTATCAATAAAAGACACCAAACTCAACAGCAAGTTCCATTTTGGATGCATTCAGGAGAGAAGGAAAAAAATATTCAACTGTTTTTCAAACACATGGGAGAATATTTAGTTTGATTTTTTCAAAGGCACTAAACATCAGAGTTATCCTAGGCCTTAGGAAATTGGAAGCTTTACTCAGACATACAATGTCTGAAGGCAAAGAACACAGAAGATTCTTGTCTGTGGGAGTTCAAACCTTTTTAGGATTGGGGATTAACAATATCACATGTGGAAACGCAGAGTGGAAGAGTTTTAAACCTTGTCTTCAGCACAACTTTCCATACATATATCAACAAAGCTTCACTGTAAGTCCTGGAAAATCCAAGGACCTTTTGACAGCAAAGAAGATCTACAGGCAGAAAGCAAATTTATTTCAGTTTATCAGTTCCCCTCCTTCCTCCTGGCATTGATTTGAGCCACTAAACAGAGGGAAAAAAGCAGGCAAATACCAAAAGTTTGCCAACAAAGTTCTTTGCTGCAGGAGTCACTAAGGGGAGACATTTGGCCATAACTGAAGGAGAAAAGAAAAAAAAAAAAAAAGCCAACCTATACTTTTTCACTTCCATCCTCTTTATTGTAAACAAAGGAGTAACTGGGAAAAATGCATTTTTTGCCTGACTTACTGAGAAGCAAAACCAATTTTTAAAATCTTTCAGCACTCATTAAGATCATTGATTTCATTAAGCTGGGTGATAAACAAGTCACTATGGAATATTTTTCCTAAGAAACAAAATACAAAATAACAGTTGTCACTTCTGGCTTTTTCAGGTGATTCTGTAAATATTACATGGTTCTATCCCACTGAAGGGCCCTCACACACATCATTCCCATTGCTGAAAATCATCCACAGACATTAATTGCATTTCAACCTTTGACAAATCAAATCCTGTTAAAATATATTGACTGCAGAATGTAGAGGAACTTAAGGCCACTGTTCCAGTGAAACAGTGCTTAACTCAGGTCCATCACATTCAGCTTCCAAAAGTTAGAAACACAGAATGGTTTGGGTTGGAAAGGACCTTAAAGATCATGTAATTTCAACTCTGTTGACTGACTACCATCAATAACCCACTGAGGCATACACAGAACTCCCCAACTTCCCTGCTCTCCATTCCTTCCCAAATTAATTCTATTTCAAAACAGACTCACATTATTTGATTATGGATCAGAAGAAAGTGCAAATCTCTGCTTCTTTAAAAATCCTACCTTGGTCAGAAAGGAAATCCAGCATGGTCTGGAGCAGGAAGGAGAGATGCCTGACACACAGGGCAGGATTGCCCATCCTCCTGGAAGCATAGACCAGCTCATGGAGCAGGCGCATCTGCACTGCAGCCCATCCCCTGTGAGTTCCTGGGGAAATGCAGGGAATATATCATCATATTTAATGGATTGTAAAGGTGGAAATCATCACAAACACCTTGGTTTTGGTTTTCTTCACATGCTAAGCAGTAATTTTATGGCACTCATACCAATCACCCAATGACTGTTACAAAATCCAACCCTTGTACTCAACACAAAAAATATATTTGCTTGAATATCTAAACATGAAATCAAGTTTTGTTTTGTATGCTTGTCACTTGATTAATAAATGTACAGTTAAAATTCTGAAGATGAAGTTAACACTTCCCAAAATCCAAAATTATACTCAAAACTTTTAATTTTTTTAAATTCTCTGGACAATGCACATGAGATTTCATACAGAAATTGAAATCATAGAATCACAGAATGGTTTGGACTGAAAAGGACCTTAAAGATCATCTATTTCCAACTCCCTGCCATAAGGCAGGGACACCTTCCCCTAGACCAGGTGGCTCAAAGCCCCATCCAACCTGGCCTTGAACACTTCCAGGGATGGGGCAGCCACAGCTTCTCTGAGCAACCTGTGCCAGGGCCTCACCACCCTCACAGTAAAGAATTTCTTTCTAATATCCAGTTTAAACCTACTCTTTCAGTTTGAAGCCATTTCCCCTTGTCTTGTCACTCCATGCCCTTGTAAAGAAAAAAAAACTACCCAGTAATTCTTAACTCTCTTTAAAGATCAAGCAAGAGATATTTTTTTATACATGCTTTCCCAGGCAATAAAAGCAATAAAACTTTAGAACACAAGGCACATTTCCTGATTTTCAGTCTTTAAGTTTCAGGCTATGAATTACTTCATATTTGTAGAGTATCTATGGGAAGAATAAATAGATGATCTTAACATAACCTTCCTTTCAGAACCATAATATGCAGCACTCTTCATGAAGCTTAACCTGCTTTTAGTAGTAAGCAACAGCAATAATTTTTAAATAACAGATATTTCAAGATGTTCAATACTTCATAAACTTCAACAGCCTTCCTTGTAATATCACCCATCAGCATTTGGCAAACTGTTTTAGGAATATTTACTGCAACCAAACCTTGAGAGTTTATATTTTGAGAGTCTCATTATTTTTCATGTGTGAAATGTCATTTCTATCTTAGAGTTTGCAGTGATCTTTCCATATGTCTCTAAAAGAGCCATTTCGGGGATAAAAAACGAGACAACTCACTTCAGTGCAACATGAAGGTAAGGGAAAAATGAAAGATAAATACCAGTCATGTCTTTTCTTTGCTTTTTTATTTATAATTTCTTGCAGAACTTCTACAACTTCCTCTCCCAACACAGTTCTATCCCAGGTCACAGCATATTTTTCCCAGCACATTCCATCTTCCTAGACTCTTAGCATCTTTCCACCAAGTCCACTTGGCATTTGCTACCTCCTCTCACATATAATTTGACTGCCAAATCACAACAGTTTTAAAAAACCCCAACACCAACCATCCACACATACAGCTAAACCCATCTCTTCCTGCAGCTACAACATTCAGGGAATGGTCCCCAAAACTGCTGCCCTATAACACAATGCAAGGTGTTGGAAAGGTTTACTCAAAAGGAGCTGCCAAGCAGCAATTTAGCTGTCTCTGATCTCATTTGTGGGGAAATGTGACATATTTGACCCTTTAATTACATTAGCTGTATCTATATACAAAAATATGTAAAAGGATTTTTACTCTTTTCTTATAAGATCAAACAGCCACAAAACAAAAAGAAATACAATTTCTGATGGGACAGCTGAAGGCACTTGAATTGAAAAAGTAATCCAGAATAATAGATGACCTTTTCATGTATTGAGAAGCACATTATCAAAACAAAGATAATAATGTTTTTTTGAAAAACATAAGAAAAGAAGTTTTCATAAATAACACATAATTACTTCCTGCAACCAGGGAACCACAGCAACACATTCAGCAGTGACTTGCAGAAATTTGAAATTATTGGAACAATATTAAGAAAAAATGAAGGCACAGTGTTAAACAACTGCTCTATCTGCTGCCTTAGTTTCAGATTACCAAACAACTTAGGTCCAGGATGAAATCTCTCAAGGAAATGATTATGGAAAGCCAGCTGAGTGGCAATCCCACTGACCTTTGCTGAAGTCCTGGGGGTCCAGGGAGAGGCTGTAGCCAGGCAGGGTCTCCAGCAGCAGTTTGTAGCAGGCCCTCCAGCCGGGCTCGGGGATGCTGGGCGCCGCGCACTGCATGGCCGCGATGCGCTTGAAAAACGCCGATTTGCGGTGGAACCCGATGCGCTCGTACAGCTCCGACAGGATGCTGTAGCGCTGGATCTTCTCCTCTTCTGAGAGCTGCACTTGCAAAGGAAAGGAGGAAAGGGATGGTTTTGAGCAAAGATTTTAAGTGCTGAGTTTTAAAAAACAAACAGGAGTAGCAGACATTGGCACTGCAGAAGGGCAGGGATTTGCACATAGCCAGGCATGACAGCTTCTGCAGCCAGGGAAAGTTAAGCTTGGTTCAACTGTTAATAAAAACTGCAAAGATGAAGTTCTGCAGCTTCAACTTTATTTGTAAGTGGTACTAACAAGTAAACAGTCAAAACAGTCAGTAACAGCTAAACAGCTCCACATTTTATGGAAGATACTTAACATGATATTGGTGTGAATGAAAGGAGTGCAAAAATATTCCACTTCCAAGATTTATTGATTCACTAAAATTTTCATCCCTTGAAGATTAAATCTAATCTTGAAATCTCAGGCTATGAAGGCAAGCGACTACTGTCTGGATTTTTATGTCTCTAATCTTGTAAACCACAAATTTTTCATTCCATGAAACCGCACTGTGATTTATACACCGTGAGATTGAATCACAGAATCATAAAATGGTTTGGGTTGGAAGGGACCTTCAACATCATCTTGTTCCAACTGCCTGCTATGGGCAGGAATGTCTTTTTCTAAACCAACTGGCTCCAAAGCACATCCAACCTGGCCTTGAACACTCCCAGGGATGGGAGATCCACAGCTCCTCTGGCAAACCTGCGCCAGTGCCTCACCATGAGCAAGTTTTGGAGGGAAGCAGTGAGTTCAAGGGGAGCTTTTCCCAACAAGGTAAAAAAATAATGGTAAAGTAGCAAAATGTCACAGAAAGACACAGATTTCTTCACTGAGTCAAGTATTGGAACAGCCTGCCCAGGGAAATGGTGGAGTCACCATCACTGAAGGGCTTTAAAAGATGTGCAGCTGTGATACTTGGGGACGTGGTTTAGTGCTGGGCTTGCCAGTGCTGAGTTAATGGTTGGTCTTGAGCTCTATTCCAACCTAAACAATTCCATTTTACACTTGCACACAAGTGAGGTGGAATTTAGTTAAAGTCCTGTTAGGCTTAAAGCTGAAACCAACTTGATAAGGAACTACCACCATGTTCTCCTTTAGCTTATCAGTGTATTGGCCTAAGTCCCAGGTCACTTAATTCTTTTTGCCTCTGGCCTGAATGATAATCTTGCTTTGGAGTCAGCCAGCCATGAAGAGACTGCCACAGAAACTCTGGATGATTCCTGCTCTGTGTCCCAGGAGCCAGCAGGCAGAGCAATGCTGACACCTAGTGCACGGAATCTGGCACAATCAGAAGCAAGAAAACGTACTTGAAATTACTCTAAAACTGCCAACACGTTTTGCAAAGTGTTTCAAGTGACAAACTTCACCCAAAAATAGCCCTAAAGGACAGAAACAGCAACTCATTCTTCAAAACTGGAAGTATCAATCAGTCTGCTTAACTTCAGGCACTTAAAGGCTTGGACAGGCAAAGGGAAGTTGCTCACCACACTGCTGGTTTTTACAGAAAGGATTAGGTCTTGTAAGCAGAGCTTCAAAATGTCTTTTAGCCACTCAAATCCTGATATAATTACAAAAAGCAGTCTGTTCTCAAAAGTCACTTCTAATTTTGGACACAGGGATATGAGACACATCAAAGAGGAGTTATCAGAGGGCACCACGACCTTATCTGACAGTTCAAATTTTTGTACTTCAGGATATGAAGAAACACACAGAGTAGCAAAGCATTTTAGAGCATTTCAGACAAATTTTGAAGCTGAAATTCCTATTTTTTCAGAAATGACAACACAAGACAGTGCTGACACAAAAGTACCACCCATCCCTAAGACCAAGCCCTGTATATCATGAGTTGTGAAAAAAGGTAATTGCACCAGGGTGAAAACTTTCAGAAACCAGTGGAGCTGGAAAAAAACAGAAAACACAAAAGGAAAACACAGAAAAAATTTTGAGAAGTTACCATAGTTCCCAAAAGCAATCACTCAGAAAGAACACGAGGTATCATACTGAAGTCACCTATTTATGTCATTTTTAACAGGTTAGAACAATGAAAAATATGGCAGCAAAGCTGAAAAGGGCACAAGCGCATGATCAGGAAATAAAGCAAAAAATCAAAGCTTTAAAAAACCCTATCAAAAGCTATTCCTTAAATACAAATACTGACAATGTTCACTAAATTCTTTAGGATGATAAAAGACAGGGCAATGCTCTTTAGGTAGACAGGAGCACTCACTAATAATTGGAATTACTATGAGAGAGGCAGTAGATTCCCAGAAAGTTTTATTTTCATCATATCTAAGTTTTTACCACTGTTACATAACTTGTTGCTTGATGGTTGTCCCCAGAGTTAATCAAGTATTTTCCTCAGCTGCAGAAAACCTTTTTTTCATCACCACAAAGACAGCAAAATTGCATTTTCCTAAGCACAAACAGTTATGTGTTACCATCCAGGAATTTGAAAGAAGAAAAATGAGAAAAAACCCACCCAGATACTCCAAGTAATTAATTCTGGGAAGATTGCAGCAGGCATTCTGCAAGCCATTGGTGCAGCACCTACAAACATCTTTCCTGACCTCACAAATTTATAAAAGCTTAATGCCTGTAAAGTGACTGCAAAACAGCCACCACCTGAAGCACAGCATTATTTCCACCTGGTTAATTTTTATTTGCCTGCTCTACCAGACAAAACTACAACTGCACCTGGAAAGGCTGTAGGTCACTCTTCAGGTAATAGAGTTTTTCCTCAGGCTTGTTTCAAGTCAGGCTTTCAAAGAATGAAGCTTTTTATTTGTTTTTTAATTATTCCTTACTACATTAAAATTTTATAATCTCACTTTCTCTGTAATTATATTTTACAATTTATTCCTCATAACTGGATGCAAAGTTAAGTCTTATTACCCTGCAGCTCATCAGAAAATACCAATTACATGATATTACTAGACTGAGTATGAAATTAAATTTATGGATAGGAACTAGTTTTCCTGTTTATAAGTCTTACACTTTAACCTGTGAGGTGTTTTTTCTGCTGCAGAATATTGGTTGTGCTGATGTTCTATTTACCTACATATGAAAAACACTGCCCTACAGTTTATTCCCTCAGCTATCCCAAGATGACTCCTCCTCATGAGTTAGTCCAAATTATAAATACAACTCTTATTTGTTTCCATGCTTCATACATTAAATCTTAAAAAGCTGTAAATACAATTCCCAGCCACAGCTCTCTTTAAGGAAAACACATTTCCCAGCCCTGGAAAGCCCTGGAAAGATTATCCTACAGTTATTTCACACAATGATGCCAACACAATCTCTGCTCCCAGCCCTGCAGAGATCCAGTCTGAACTGCTTTGGGCTGGACTGGCTGCAGGTTCACTGGCAGCTCAGATCAGGGTCTGTTTTTCATGTTGCCAAGCTTTGTGTTTGTGTATTATTAGGCAATAAATATCAGCTATTGAAGTGGCAAGTACTTTGCCATTCACTGTGTGTTAGGGGTTAGGATTTCTCCTTTTGGTTCTTTCTCCCATGGAATTTTGTCCCATCTGTTGGTAAGAGACAATAAGGACCAGGACTTAAGGGTGACCAAAAAAAAATGGGCAAGGTGGGGAAGGGTGCAGCTGGTTCCTCTCTCACCTGAAGGTTTTCTCTTTGGGAAGGGAAAAAAACACCAATTTTTGGCCAGGGGGTGAGGGTACACACAGCAGTGAAGAACTGTGATTCCTTTTCCCAGGTCTTTGCCTGAAAGCCCCAGATTTTCAGAGTTATTTGGAAGGAAGGGGGTCACATTTTCTATTCCAAGAGAGGTTCCTTCCCTCCTTGTCAGACACCTGCCCTTCAAACCAAGACACTGGGTATAACAGGTCTCCTCTGGTAAGAAGTGAAAGTTGCAATATCAGTGGTGGCAGGGAGAACTGAGTATTCTCTTAATGCACTAACTGCTTCCAGAAAAAGAAACAACAACAATCTTGGAGTTTGCAGGCAACAAGAGTAACAGCACCAGAACAAGAGTTTGGGTGAATAACAAAGGGTGCAGAACTGCCAGCAAAAAAACAGGTTAGAGAATTAAAGAGGGCCTCTAGCACTACAAGGATTATGGCAATTAAGGCACTGTCTAACAAGACTGATGATTTTTATGACAGCTTATCAATTAATTATTGTCTCATTAATGCTTTGTTAGAAAATTTATTCCAGAGAAAGGATTCTTAGCAAATGAAAGGAAGTGCTCTACCTCTCTCATAAATCTGCTGTTCCTGTCTGGGCCTAATAAGGTCAATGGTGTGAATTCAAAATGCTCATCTTACCAAGATGTAATGAGCAAAAACCAAAAACCATTAAGAAACCTAACAGCTTTTTATTAATCCTTTCAACCACAGCAATCTCTCTGTGAGCAGTGACACCAAGCTTAAGACACTGCTCAAGTGTTAATGTTGTTTTTGTGGTGATACTGAGCACTTTCCACACAGCTCCAAACACTGATTTCCCTCCTGAATTCCTTTCTGATTTGGCTTAATTAAGACTTTGCACTACACAGCAAAAATTCAGTTGATTAAGAACACTAATCAGACCCTTCAGCTCACTCTGCAACAGGCCATTCCTGATTTGCTCAGTTCCATTGAATGAGATGCAATCAAGAAAATTTTTTAAATCCACTGCAGAGCCATCCCAGGCAGCTGTTTTTCCCTAGTACAGCATCACAAGAGAACAACAATGGGATTTTTTTTTAACCTTCACAAGGGAGAAGAAGCAACGGAGTTTAATCTCAAACTAAGTCCTCATGTTTTTAGATGAACTCTCAATACCTTGTAACCCAGACTCACAGATGTGAAAATCCTCAGAAGTCAAGCTCTTGTCAGAAGGAATGCAGTGGTACAGAAAATAAACTGGAGTCTCCTGAATCTAAGTAATTTTCAGTATATTCTGTCAAATGACAAGAGAAAAAAACCTGGACTTTCCAACTGACCTGCCGAAGGTTGATATAAACTGCATTCTGCAGAAACTCAGAGGCTTCCATGCTCCTCTTCTGCATTGCCAGGACTCTCACAGCCTTCACACAAGCTTCCAGTTCAATCACCCCAGCATTCTTGTACTTGGAGAGGGAGAAAATTAAAATAATATTGAAATATTGCACCTGTTAGATTTTATGAGCATTTCTGCTCAGCACATAAATCAGCTGTCACATCCTCCAAACCCAGTAATTCCTTCATGCTAATGACTACACTGTTAAATCATCAACATATGCCCAAGTGAAAGTTAAGGTGTCACCTAAAATATTATTGTGCAAAACAGCTGCTTTCACCCTCTTCACTCACTGCTCTCATTCTGAGAGTTCAGGTGAGGAGAAAAGCTGGGAATATTGGAACCATTTGGGATAACCTCATATAAATGGTTGGTTGTGGATGCTGTGTCTGCAAATAAATTCTACCTTTACAATGCAAATATTTTTATTGCTGCATCCATTTTCTCTTTAGTTAAAACAATATTCCTGATGAGAGAATTAGAAATCCATCTGACTGTTCCAATATTTGTTTACAAAACATTTGCTGTAAATGACTGTTTAGTGATTTAGCTTGCTTAAGGAAGCTAAGGAGACAATGCAGATGTGCATTGAATTGTTTGTGCTCAAACAGGCAATTTTCTAGCCAGACAATCTGGTCTGGTAATTTCCTCAAAAAACACTGATACTAGGTATTTGATTTGGCCCACCTTCTGCTGAAGTTAAGCTCTCTTCAGGTATTTGTATTTGAAAACAAATGGGGGAAAGAAATCTCGATAAAAAAATGCAAGAGTTACACCAGCAAAGCTGTCACATATTCCTCTCTCATGCATTTATATTAGCAAAAGCAAATCAGTGGAGATTGAATCTATTTTAGAAGGTGCTACAGAAGTTTTTTCAGTTGAGTGAGAACATAAGAAGTCTGCAGAAAGTGCTGCTTCCTCAGCATTAGAGCAAGGAGTTACTCTGTAGGTCTGGAACAGACAGAAGGTAACTGTGCTTGTCTTGAAGGGTTATAAATCAGTCCTGACACAAATCTCTTTGTTATTTCAAGTGAAGCTGCAGTGAAGCACAGTTATTACTTGCTGAGAGCACAGTGCATATTATAAATAATCAAAATATAAATATCCTGCCTTAAGCCCAACTAAGTCCAATAATTTTACACTCCTAGAGACATCACACCCTTTCAAGATGAGCAATGTACCCTTAAGGTAACATTAAAAAGCTGAATGCATCCTTGACAGTTATTGTTTTACTGATGGATTCTAATTTATCTGACACTGTGCCCAGAATCATCACCTTTCATTGCTCCTGATCATAAATTAACTCATGCACACAATTGAAATTGTTTCACTTGGAGAGTCTCCCTTTAACATGGACATGAAAATACCTGTAGTAAATATTTATAAGCTTAGTCTAAAGATACATTATCAACCAAGAGAAATACCTGAAATTAAAAAGTGATTAAATAACTCCACTGAAATACAATCAAACTTATCTTTAGTGTTGATGTGGACACTGAGCCACTATTTTCACAGTAAAAAACAATTCTTTTTCTTTTCTTATTATGACTGCAGACATTAAGTTCCTTTTCCATCTCAGGCTCTGAGCATTTGCACAAAAACCTAAAAAGTACTCCAGCAGAGCTGGAAGCTGTTTTACAAACCCCACTGCCATGCTTTAAAAGATCTCCCAAACCAAAGCCTCAGCAGTTCATGGTTGAAAAGAACTTAAAGTGTTGATTTATAAATAACCAGGATTACCTTGCCATAGTAAGAAATGGCTTCTTTGTATTTTTCTATGATGTCTTCAGGACTCAGGCAGTTCTTAGCACGTCCTATCTCAGCACTGGTATCTGCATTGATGCCATTGGAAGTCAGAGCACCTGGAACAGGACAGGGTCAGAAATGAGCACAGGGACTCTTGGCAAATGCTAAATATCTAAAAAGCAAGCTAGGGTATGCTGTAGGTTTGACACAGAATACACAAGATACACTTGCCCTACCTAGAAAGAAAGGAAATAATCTTTCACTTAGTAAAAACATATACATTCATGATTTTTAGCCCTTATCTGAATGTTTAGACTATGAGTAAAATATAGATTACTAAACTTATATCATGGCCACATCTGAATAGCCAGTTTTAATCTTTGAACTATTCCTCCTTCTACTTTAAAACTGTGTTTCTAAAGCACACCATAGGACAAAAAAAAGGCTCAGACAAAACAGTAAGAAAATGGTTTTCTTATATAAGAAAAAAGGCAAGAGACAGAAGGGGTCTATATAAGGGATAAGAATTTGAAATAGATGCCAAGGAAATCTGGGGTATTAGAAAGAAATGAAAATTTTATTTTTAGAATTTTATTTTATTAGAGTTAACATCATAAAAGTGGAAACATATCAAAGGCTTGGCAAGGCTCAATACCTTCTTACATATTACTTAATCTGCAGCATTATACTGTAATTTATTTAGGATTATACACTAATTGGTTTCTCCAAGAGGTTTCTCTGCAAAAATGGCAAAAAAAAATCTCTGTATTTCAGAGCTGGCCCTAACTGTCAACAGACAGTTAAAAACTACTGTGAAAGGTATTTCTGAATTTTTCTCAGGGAGCAGAAAGAATGTTTCTTTACATATTTAAATGCTTAGGGAACTTTTTAATATGCTCATTAACCTTAATGAATCAGACCAAGCACATCTGGAGATTAAGATTATTTTTATGGAAGTGCAAGATGTTTGTTCATGATGACTGAGGGAGCACCATGACACTACAGAACCACAGGACCATTCATCTTGGTCACTTCAAAAATATTGAAAATATTCAAAATCCTCACTACTCATGGAAAGAAATCCTATTGATTAGAATTTATTGAGACACAATCACAGAACTACAGCATTTATTTTGTGCCAGTTACCGTTCAGTCTCTATAATTTCTCAAGATTTATAGCCAAAAACTGAAGCATCAGGGATCATTACTAGTTTTGGCAAGTGACAATAACTATACAATTGCAAAACACATCAAGTAATACAAGAAAATACTTTGGAAACATGCAGAAAAATAATGTACCTGGATCAATGAGAACTTCTTGTGCCCCTAAAAGGAGGAACAAAAATGATTTTTTTCAGCCTTAAATAGAGCCAGCAAAGTAAGTTCTTATAATCTTTTATAACATCAGGCTTGAACAAAATCATCAGATTCATCAGGGTTATCACTGCTGTTGTGAAGGACTACCAATTATAATTCAAGTAGTCCCCATAAGTTAAATCTCATTTTGTTAATAAATAAATGTAAAAGTCTATAAATTTGCAATAAGTTCTAAGACACACTAGGAAGAATTTCAGAATTTGCAGTGTATAATTTAAATCCATCTATTTTTTCCTTTATTGTTTTGGTTAGCAAGTTTCCATTACAATCCACTTAGTATTCATGCCAGGACCTACAATACTCAATCTCTTTGTGGGAGCTCATTTAATCTGCACAATACTCTAGAATAAAATTTCCAAGTAATTTTATCCCTTTTAATTATCATTCATTTCTCTCCATCTAATTTTCTGAATAATTGAGTCATGTCAAGCCAAAAGCCAGACTGTCCATGTAAGAGCTGCCAAGAGTACTGCAGAGTTGGATTACCAGTATGGAACACCTCGCCCTAAACTTTGGTTAAACATGACAAGAAAATTATTCATCTCAAGGGTTAAGCAGTCAAAACCAATTATTTTATCAGCAAGACAGACCCTCCCTTCAGTTGACTTGCTCAGATTCCAGACAAGTGAAGCAGAGATTTAGATCTAGATTCAAATATACACCAACACTTCACTCAGGGGTCATAATTCTGCCTGGGGAAAAAGCAACAAATTCAAGATCTTAGAACTCTCAACAAATAAAATCCAGTGGAGAAATCCAGACCAGCCAGTGACCTAAGCATAAAGCAATCCAGACTCATCTTGTTTGACATAAAAATCCCACAACTGTTACATCACATCCAGATTTCCTGGCCTGGAGGAACTGAGCAACTCAGAATCCTCCTTTACACTGAAGGCTGCAGAGACACATCCAGGAATTCCAGGGGACACAGCCTAAATTTGTCCCCATATACAAACAAAAGGGTTTAGATACCTGAGAAGTCAAAGCACCCTTCTCACAGAATGGTTTGGAAAGGGACCTTAAAGACCATCAAGTTCCAACCCCCTGTCCATGGGCAGCAGAGGCTCAAAAACCCAACCTGACCCTGAGCACTTCCAGGGATGGGCAGCCACAGCACAGAGCAGAAGCTCAGCTGTAATTTGGAGCTTTCTTTCCAAAGTTGTTTCTACATAAAGCAGATCCCCATCTGCTGAGCAGGTCCTGTGCTGCAGCCTAAAACTGCCAAAGGATGGAAATCACAAGGGATTCCAGAGGAAGATGTTTCTATTGGCTGGATATGGGCAGGAAACTTCATCCTTTGAAGGCTGAAGTACAAGAGGTGCAATTCCAGGTACAAGAGGAAGCACTAAAGGTAACTCTCACATCTACACACCTCAAAATCAGGCACAAGTTTCAGTTCCAAGTGTGGCATTTCTTTGTGCAGAATTTGGAATCCCTTTTTTTCTGGCTTTATCCCACAGAAAGATACAGTGGAATTTGTTCCCCAGATTGAGCACTGTCCTCACAAAATCAATTACAGTGAAAGAGACTATAACCAAAGGTGCAGTTTGAAAGGATTTAAAATGAAAGGCACTGCAGACTCAGGAATAGGCAATAAAAAGAAACTTTCAGGAAACTTTGTAGGAAAATGACATCACAGCAACAGCTGTTTGGCCAGAGGGAGCTCAGCAGTTCACACCAAACACAGAGATCATAACTAGACTTAGGGAACAGTATCTAATGGGCCACAAAGTAATATTTTTGTCTGCAAAGGATGACAAAAAAAAAAAAAACTGTAATCAATTTCTCTCCACAGAAAAGTCCTTTGAAAAATCTTTTCATATGAAACTAAAACATTTTTAAAATACAACTACAGTACCAAGTTTGCAAACTGGACTTTGAAATACAAGACAACTTAAATAGAAACCAGCAATAATACATCCAAAATTAATTCAATTATTCTGATAGCTGTGACTTATTTGTTACCTTCTTTAGTAACCAGGAGTACCCATGACAAACAAACAGATTGCAGCATTCCTGATAAATATCCATTGAAAAGGTCACTAACCAGGTGAAATTGTAATAGCCAATGTAAAATGCATTCATAGGTCATGGGACCAAATGCACAGATTTTAATGACTAGGTATTGTATAAAAATTAGTATTCTGTCCTGAAATAAGGTAATTTTACTATCACAATTATCTGATTTCAATACACATATTTCATAATAAAGGTAATACAAAGCAAGTGTTTACTAGATTGTGATTTATAAAAGAATAAAGATGGGTGGATCTGAAAGATTCCTTCTTTTCGATGAAGAAATTAATTCTGACCACAGTGCACAAAAGAGAACTTAAAACCAGCACTGAAACCCAGCTATGTTTCAGTCCTGAGTGAATGCTTACACAGCAGCAGCTGTGCTGGGTTAGCCCACAGGCCTGTGCAGCTCCCATTAATCAATGGATTTCCATTTTCCTACCCCAGCCCAGCCTCTCCTGAAGGCCACAGAACCTTTCAGGAGCTGTAACACCATGTGACAAGTGTCAGGTTATGTGACAGGCCCATCTGCACAACCACAGAGGAGTGGAGAGGATCAGTGACCATCAGCTGAACCCCAATAACCAAATCAGAGCCACCAGAGCAGGGGGGGCGGTGAAGCCCAGCTCAGTTACCCCAGCAAGTCTCTGGATCCCCTTACAGACAGACTGGGGGGTCACTCCTACAGGGATATGGGGCTCACTGGAGGGAAAGAACATCCTGGGATTGTACAAGATTCCTTCTGGGGTGTAGGGGACAAGCCAAAGACAAAGAGAAGGAGGGACTGAGGCAGTTTAGGGACCAGGCATGGGAAAGCAGAGGGGAGGGCATGTGTGTGTGCTGGTCTGAGCACCAACAGCTGCAATGGGCTCTGGCTCTCAGCCTTGTGGGCTGAGGTGCCAGCAGCTGGTGCAGAGCAGTGCCAGCTCCTGGACAGACTGAGGCTGTGTCTGTGTTCCCTGTGTGTTCTCCAGGCCTGCTGGGAATTCCTGCTCAGCCTCCTGTCTGCCTGGACCTGGGGCCATGGAGCTGCAGCAGCCTTGCCTCTCACACACAGCACCAGATCTGGCACCTCTGAATGCCAAGGAGTTCCACATCATACCTGGAGGCTGGATAAAGAGTAACTCCTTTCATCTGCTTCTCCATCTGCTAAGCTCTGTTTGATGTCCTCCAGTTCTTCTCTGGAAACAAACACTGAGCCTGTGATCCCTACCCATCCTTTTCAACAATGTTCACTGTACTACAGATTGCTCTCATATTTCTCCTCAGCCATCTCCTTTGCAGTCCAAGAGTTTAGAAAAAGTATACTAAATCTTAAAAATTATGTTGGTTTATCGGCATTTCATTTTAAAAAATCTCTTTGTTAGTCATTGACTTTAGAATAGCAAAAGAAACCTGAATAAAATGTACCCAACTTAATTCTTTTTAATACATGCAGCCCTGCCAGATCCTATTTTATGAAAACTGCCTGCATCTCCTCCAGCAAAATTCAAACACACACAGACACTACTAACAATCAGGTGAAGAAATCAAAAGCTTTGCAATTCTATGCAAAGCATATGTGTTGACATTAACACCAAAACAGAAAAATAATTGCAAAAATCTGGAAATAAAAAAAAAAAAAAATTCTTCCCCAAACCTCCCTCCTCTGATTAATATTGTCATCTGCATAATTTTACACAGTCAGGATGTAGGGAGAAGTTTTCAGATGTGGTGGCAGAGAGAATAAAACAGAAATGCCATCCTTACCTGGCCTGTGCCTGTTGCCTGCCTCAGCAGAAAGAGAACCTCCTTGGGCCCTGCGAGACCCAACTTTACCCCCAGTGCCACCTGGGTAGTGATAGATGACAGATGCTGAGCACAGCCCCTCCAGGGCAGCTGCAGAGAAAAGGAAAAAAAGCCAGCAGGTTAGCAGAGACATTTGCAGGAAGTGAAGTACCCTGTGGTAAAGTCCATTTACACAAAACGTGCCTGAAATTAGAGATCTAATGACAAAGCCCATGGAAAATTCTGATATTCAATGTGCTTTTCACATCTGTGCTCACCCTCAGAGCCCCCACTGCCCCAACCCACTGACAGAATCTGCAGGAGTAAGAACTTGTCACAGTAGAGGAAGCTCACATGAGAAGCACTTAATCCAAGTGGATGCAATTCCACAAAAGCAGGTAAGAAGCCAAGAGAGCTGACCAAGGTAAAGCCACTCTCTGATCACCTCCAACAGGTTCATGCTCATTGGGGGAGGTTTCTAGTGGCTGGGAAAAGGGAAATGTCATCTTCTTTGAGAAGGAAGTACCAGCACAGAGAGGTCAACATCAGCTCCCTGGAGAGGCTACAGAGAAGCACATAAAGTGAAAGAAGGTGTCTGTGAACAGCTCACATCGATTTACTGAGGAGAAATCAGCCTTTGGTAGCCTCACTGCCCCCTCTGAGGAGATGCTAAGCTCAGTGCACAAAGGAACAGCAGTGGATGTTGTGTATTTTGGTTTTCAAAACATCTTTGGACATGGTCTCCCACAGAATGCTTGAAGCCAAGTCAGGAAGATTGAGAAGGCTGGCCTGGAAAGCAGGTGGAAAATCAGCTGAAGGTTGGTGCTCCTGCTGCCTTTAAAACATCCAGTAGGGAAGAGATGGAGGCAGGAGCTTCTCAGAGGTGCAGGGACCAGATGAGAATCAACACAAGTGGACACAAGAAATTCTGCTTTAAGCTAAGACCAATTTATGTTTTGTAGTTGGTTTTTTCCAAAGTATAATCAGCAAAATGTTAGAACAGGTTGCTCAAAGACTGTATAACTTCCATAATTAAATATACCTAAAATTCAACTGGACAGGTAGGTCCCTGAACAACCTGATGTAACTGGACATAAGAAAAGCAGATCAGACTTATTTGGATTGGACTTATTTGGATCAAACTATTTGGATTGGAAGAGTCCTCTGGAGGTCTCTAAGTAGAATTTGAGGAATCTTGAGCCATTTCAGTTTTTGGAATTGCAGAAGGAAAGAAATGGAGGTCAAAAGGTGTTAAGGTTTCCATGGTATGTAATCTACAGGGCCATTAGGAAGATAAATGGTTTCCACGTGGAATGGGAAAACTAAAAGCAGAACTGGAGACAGTGATTGTCCTGGAAGGGTATGAAACTGAGAAGCAGAAATTGTGCTCAAGGATCATTTGTATGGCCAATTAATAACAAAAAGCAGGCATGGAAAAAAAAAAGGAAAGGATGGAGGAAAGGCAGGGGAAAAAAAGCAAATCCTGGCACCTAATATGAAAGGAAATGATGCCAGTGGAAGTTTAACACTTGCAGCTTTAGGAGATGGAAAGGCAAAAGTCTTTTCCTAACAGTCCACAGTAGACACCCATAGGAAACATTTTTAAAACACCTACACAACCCAGTAAAGAAAAATCAAATACTTTCCAAGGAATCACGAAAAAATCAGACACAACTTTTTTTAAGTACATGCTTTACTACAGTAACACAATTTATCCTGTTTAGGTTTTCCTAAACACATTCCTTTCTCACATCTTATTGACCAATTTTTGCTTCAACTTCATCCTTCTTTGTGAAAAATGTGTATTTTATGATTGGCTTTTTGCAAATATTAAAATGAATATTGTATGTGTTCTGTTAGAAAGTTATGCTGTATTAAGTTTCTTAAGTAGTGTGTTAAATATAGTTTAGGTTATAACATAATGTTAAAATAGAAACTATGCTATGTAGGATGCTTTTTTCCTAAAGAAAGGACTCGCAGTGAGATAGCAGCCACAGGACACCTAAATCTTTCAGAGAAAGAGAATTTATTGCCCCATTATCAGAAGAAATGAACTTCTTCCTGCCTTGCTCAGCTGTTAGGATTAAGAGGAAGAAGCTGACACTGACCAGACAGAATCCTGTGTTTGAATGGAATTCATGCATCATGTATGAGATGTATGAATATGCAACAGGCTGTTGTTTTTAAGGGTTAATCCTCTGTTAACGTGTGTCCTTTTTCAGGCTTATGCTGCCCAGAAAAAGGCACCCATAACTCTTTGTTTCTATTGTCTCATATTGTCCTAATCCAAATTGTCCAAATTATTATTACTCTAATTATACTGCTATTTTTATAACCATTTTATTACTATTAAACTTTTAAAAATCTTAAAAACAAGTGATTGTCGGAGTTCAAGACATCCCTCTGGGTGTCCTGGACTGTCAGAACCCCTGCCAGGGGGCTCAGAGACCCTGGCACAGAGCCCAAGACACCTGGGACTTTGATTATGACCCATAGAAAAAGTTACCAACCTTATATGAAGACAAAGTTACCAACCTTACATGAAGACAAGACACAAAAGCTTAAGTAGAATGACAGTGAACTTATCACAAGGTGAAAAATAGATTTTTTAGTGTTTTTAGAATGGGGGTTCAGGAGACAAAGTAGAAGAGTCTAAGCGTGTCCAGTCTTTCTTCTTCTTCTTCTTCTTGGCCTCCATCTTCTGCTGTGATGTTGGCACTTTTAGATTAGTTTAGAGTAGAAGCTCACTGTCTAACATAGGGGATAGGTATTAAGAAGTTATGGTAAACACTGTACACTTAGTTTTTAGTATAAAAAGACAACACCGCCTCTGAGGCGGGCAGTGTGGCTCAACCCAACCTGCTAGACAGACCTCAGTGAGTCAGAGAAAGAATTTTATAGATAAAAAACAATAAACAACCTTGAGAACAAGAATAGAAGAGTTCTGACTCCTTCTTCAACTGCTGGGCTGGGAAAAGAGACTTTCTAATGCATCTCAAGGTCATTCTGACCAGCAGAGATTCCGAAAAGTGATTGGCATTTTTCACATTACTCACATCTCATATCCAGATTTTGGTGACTAAATTCATTACTGCTTTTCACACCTCAGGAAATTACAAAGGATAGTTTGATTTACTTGGTGTGAAAAATGTCAATCACCTGTTTTTAAGATTTTAAAAGTTTAATAGTAATAAAATGGTTATAAAAATAGCATTATAATTAGAGTAATAATAATTTGGACAATTTGGATTAGGACAATATGAGACAATAGAAACAAAGAGTTATGGAAGTCCAGGTACCTTTTTCTGGGCAGCACAAGCCCAAAAAAGGACACATGTTAAGAGAGGATTAACCCTTAAAAACAATAACTTGTTGCATATTCATACACCTCATACATGATGCATAAATTCCATTCAAGCACAGGATTCTGTCTGGCCAGTGTCAACTTCTTCCTCTTAATCCTGACAGTGTCATCCTGCTTGAGTGAGGTGGGAAGTTCCTTTCTTCTGATAATGGGGCAATAAATTCTCTTTCTCTGAAAGATTCAGGTGTCCTGTGGCTGCTACTGGGTGGAAGTCCTTTCTTTAGAAAAAAAGTATCTCATGTAGCATAGTTTCTATTTTAACATTATGTTACAACCTAAAACTATTTTGAACAGACTACTTAAGAAACTTAATACAGCATAACTTTCTAACAGAACACATACAAGATTCATTTTAATCTTTGCGAAAAGCCAATCATAAAATCCATATTTACACCAAATACCCATTTTTCCCACTTGGGATTACAAGTGCCACCACCCAGTCGTACCTCCAAGCCAGAGGAAGTCGTTGACAGAGCGCAGCAGCTCCACTGCCATGTGGTAGTGCACCAGGGAATCCTGCAGCATCCCAGCCTGCAGGCACAGGTCCCCCACGTGCTTCCGCATGCGGCCCTGGCAGCGCTTCTTGTAGTGTCTGCAAAAGAGAGGTGCACTTCAGGAGTGCTGCTCGGGGATAACAAACACCTCAAGGCAGTTTTCTTCCCTCCTTCATAGCACATCAACATGGATTTACTCTCAGCTTTCATATTTGCTTAGAAGCAAACTAATGTAATGTGCAAAAGGAGCAACAATGTGAGGATATATTGGAAAAAGCAATGTATCACATGTTTTGGCTACACAGCTAGAGTCACATGCCCTGAAAACCTGCAAAGCAAGGCTCCTGCAGACTACAGTGAGTGTTTGGCTGCCTGTCCATAGCTGATATGCTGCTTTTTTGCTCTTCCAATACACCCAAAAGCTCATTGTTAAGCCAGGGTGGTCTCTTGTTCTGCCTTTTTCCTTTCCCTCAGCAGAGGATGGATTGTTCCTGTGCTTCCAGGAAGCTGTTCTTGAATAAATCCCACAACTCCATGGATGCTTCCCATGGAATCCCTCACATTTTGGCTCTGAGCATATTAAAGGTGACCTTTCCAAAATCCTGCTCTGGGCCTCTGTCTCCACCACTGGGACCCTCTCCACACACAGCCCAAAGGTATCGGGGGCCAGAACCCCCTCAGACCCCCCAGACCTCACTCACAAACCTCCCCCTGCTCCCAGCCCCTTCTTTTAAAGGGATGATGAGTGAAAAAGCACCATCACTTCAGGCAACAGCTGACAGGGTTTCTTCCTCCTACTCTTTTTACATGTTAAAATAAATGGTGATGTTCTTCCCAAGTGAACAGACAAAGCCTACTGAATATATTCAACAGACACCTTGGTACAGCTGAAAAGGCAACTTGGCCATAAACCTGTGTGACAAAGGCACTAATCCTACTGTTTTGTTTGGTTTTTTAGTACATTTCAGCTAAAGAAAAGTTTAAAAAGTAACAGATGCAAAGCAAGACATGCTGGACTTGGAAAACACCTCATGGTTTAAGAGACAGTTCAGAACAACTCTGCTCTCCCAAATCCATGAACAATCCTCCTTTTCTCCTTCCTGCAAAAGTACTCCCGAGCAAGAATGTCCTTGCACTATAATTATAAACTTGTTTTATGAGGAAGAAATTTAAATGTGAACTAAGATATTTTATTAATTTATCTATGTTATTTTCAATAGTATATCCTGTTGTTCTAACCGTGTCTTCTAAGTACATCCAGAGAGGTATGCAAGTTTACAAACATCACACTGAGGAAAAATAAACTCTTACTTCTTTGGATAGTTTAAACTAAAATAAAGGTCTATCAAAAATGAAAATTTAATTAGAAGAATTGATGCCATCTTGGATTGACATAGTTGTAAACTTTGAGCTTTTAGGAGATGTAGTGATACTTTTTCCATTTAATTAATTTAATTTAAATTAAGTTGAACAGGTTGCGCAGAGAAGCTGTGGATGCTCCGTCCCTGAAGTGGTCCAGGCCAGGTTGGATGGGGCTTGGAGCAACCTGGAATAATGGAAGGTCCCTGCCCATGGCAGAGGGGCTGGAAGGAGATGATCTTTAAGGTTTGTTCCAGCCCAAACCAGCCTGTGATTTTTTTAAAAGTTACCAAGACTATTTGAACTTAGCAACTTTAAACAAAAAAGAAACCCAAAAAAACCCTAAGGTTACACCCCCACTCCAGATGCTGAACTCTTATTCCCTGGAGTGAGACCAGATTATAGGAGGAATGCCACTGTTATGGAATGAAACCAGGTTTGAGGCAGAGGGGTTTTTTTCAAGTGAGGAACTGAAATGTCACTGAAACAATCCCCATAAGGCATCTGAACAAACTGTCCTCATGAGGTCTGTGATGTAGAAATGACAAAGGGAGAAGAGGCACAGAACATATGAAATGTAAGGGTAGGAATAAGGACATTCATTTATTTCCTTTAGATTTGAAGGCAGAAAGGCCAGGAGGAATGGCAAGAATCCAAACAATTCCATGTCACTGGTTTATTTGCCTTCAAGGCTATCAGTTTGGCTTGGGCAGTTTACACCACAGAGAAGCATCTTTTCAGCCACCAAATAATGTCTCATTCCTTGCACTTGGTTTGGGAAAAGGAGATGAAGAGAAAGTAACTGATTTACTGATTTATATGGACAGGGGACAGAAATTGAAAAAGAGAAGATATATAGAAGTACAGAAAATAGCCTTAATAAAAACTGAAGAGAGAAGCTATCAGAACCAGTGTTATTGTCTACAAAAAAAAGAAAAAGGAAATAATAAAAGGAGACAAGCAATAGGTCTCCTATTGCTTCTCTCCATCTAAAAAGTTACAAATAATTCCTACATAAATGTTTGCACTTTTCTGATCTAGCACACCATATTCACAATTGATGTGAAGGTGTTGCCATTAAATGAAGCTCAATACAATTGTTGTATTCTTCATCTTTCAGATGTGTCAGGAATTGAAATATTTGTCTTTTATTTTTCAACAAGTATGTATTTTATAGATCTTTTAAGAACAAAAATGCAAGAAAATTCAATGTGAAAACTAAAGCTGCTCTGTATGAAATATGGAAGGGCACCAAATCTTACCAAGATTTCAGTCTGAGCTTTGAGTTATAGAAAAATAACTCCAAACTCAAAAAGTTCTGTCGTTATCTGGAGTCAACATTGCACAGGAGAGCTTAAATTGGTTATAAATCAGATTTTCCTACTCTCTGCACTCCAGAATGAAAATAGCATTGTAAATGTTAAATTGCTTTGACTTTTTTTTGGTTTTTTTACATAAGTAGTGGAATTGGAGAATCACTGTTTCCTTACCCAGCTATAATTCCTCTCAAAGATGCCACTGCTTCCAACTCCATCTCTATGCTTTCAAGCAATCTTTATGTTTATGAACAAATTAAAGTTCTTATTCTCTCAAAACTGTACTTTATAAGCTTTCTTCCAGATTTTCCAGCTAGCAGATGATTAAATTCATAAATATGAGTCATACAGCAAAGGAAAAGAGATGATGCCTGACTCCTAAATCAGGACCTGATACCAGAATAGTCTCAATCACACAGCCTCACCATCAGCTCTTCCTAAACTAATTCTGCTGCTGATTTATGCCCAGTCAATATATCTGAAGTTTAAAGGCATTTATTCACCCAGACATCAATAAATATTGCTCATAAAACCACTGTTCTTTGAAAAACTCTCCTTTATTTATAGAAAACCAGATAATTTGTTCCTGGTGGTGAAGAAATTTACTATTAATTATTCAAAAACCAAATTCACTCCACCTATTTTTAGGCTCTTCAAGGTATTGCCAAGACAGGATAAATCTCCCACAGTCCCTGCAAGTCACTGCCATCCTCTTGGAAAATATTTTCTCACTAATTATAGAGTAAGTTTGTACCAAACAAATGTATAAACTGTCTTAATTAGGCAGTCACAATTAAGTACAGTGAATTCAATTACTTCAAGTATGTCCAAAAAGACAAAAGGCAAAGATTTCATGGAAACGAAACCCACTCTCCACAGACAGCAAAACTTAATTCACTTCAGATTTGGGAAGCCTCTTTTTAAAAAAATCCAGTCTCTTCAACATGAGGCCCTTAAAATCATGTCCAAGGGACTCATTGTTTATTCTGTGCATCCTGGGGTGTAAATTTAATGGGGAAAATGCCCTATTGCATGTATATTCATTATATATATATATAATATATATGTCTCAGCATAAAGTGATTGCTCATTTTAATACTGAGCTAGTTTTGCTTCACAGCTTTAGCTGAAGAACCTGAAAGTGAGAAGCTTACAGATATCTTCTCTCATAATTATTTTTTATTAAAACCCCGTTAAAATATTTCAGCTCTCTCCTGCTTAATCCTAACCTATTTAGGGACAAGAAGCCCACATAAATTAACAATTACTTCCTCTAGGATAAGAGGACAACCTTTCTCTGGGCCAGTTCCTTGCAGCACCCTACTGCCAAGAGCTGCTCCTATTAATTTTACCTCTAGAAAATCATTTACAACATGAAATTTCAAAGAAGCACCCCGAGTGTCCCCCTACAAACCCTCTCCTGAGTGTGATGCACTCAGAAACATCCCCAGGGAAGGAAGGCAGTGCCACCTCCTGCAGGGCCACCCATGGAATGCTCCTTGGTGTCACTCACCCAAACTGCTCTTCTGAAGGTCCTCACCACACAGAAAAATCCCATTGACTACAAAACTACTTTAAAATCTTATTTTCTAAAATTAGTTGAGTTAAAGCTCTACCAAACACACTCTTATATTCAGAGGAATCACCACAATCATGACCAGTGACCACTGCTACCACTTCAAAATGGAGGACAATAAGTCTGTTCCAGGAACTATGAAGAACTACTTAATTTTCATTTCTGCTTTCTTTGCTCTATAGGATATGTGCTTTATTCTTTCATCTCCAGCTCTTTTCTAGGATCCCAGGATAATTTTATGGAAAATTTAGTGCAACAGTGTTATATTTGAAGACAGAATTTATTTTCACTACAAACCATCCAGAAACAAGTTTGACGGAATTTCTGGATCCTCAAAATTTGGCTAAATTTACAAACAAGAAACATGCAAAATCAATTCTCAAAAGTGTATTCATGCAAAATGCTCCAACAAAAATTTCCATCAAGTTCTACTAATTCCAGTTAGCATGCAGAGCTAAAGATGTCACCAATCATAACATTATCCAGACTTCAAGAGACACAGCTACGGCATTGGATCGACTGCCAGAACTTTTGAATTCGGAAATCAAACACAGGCAGCAACAGCTTCATGGCTTTGGAGTTTAAAAAATAAAGCAAATTCCAGAGGCCAGCAGCCACCTAAGCAGACTATGTGTGTCCTACAAAAAAACTCAGCATTGCTACCAAATATAATTGCCAAATGCACCAAAAGGGGGCAGCTGCAGTGGTGAGGCTCCAGGCAGCAATTATTTTTGTGTGTACTGAAAAAATAAAGATAAAAAGCAACACTAAAATATGCAATGAAGGCGAAGTGAAGAGGCAGGACATGGGAAAAAAGCTAACTATTTTCAAAGATACACAATCACATCCTACCTTTTTAGACCCAACAACAAACTCACAGGGCAGTATGAGAGAAGAAGGGGGGGAAAAAAAACAGAAAGGAACAAAACAGAAATTAGAAAGACAGAGAACAGAAAGAAAATTAACAGCCACATACACATACTGAGATCATCAACTTTGATAAATCAGTGCACAAATCCCAGCTATGACACTTCTGTAAACAGGGCCCGGCATCCTCATCCCTTCACAGCATTAAATGATGCCAGTATTAAAAAAAGAAAGAACCTAAGACACAAACTGATGTAAACAACATTAAAATGAGCTTATCCAAGTAGATTTACAATCATACTTAAGTATGTTTATTTTTAGCTGAAAACAGAAATAAAATAGAAAACTTAAAACAAATGGGATTTTCAGTATTTCTGGCACGTATAATTCCTAGTTTTCAGTTTGTAGGACATTTTTATCATCATGAGAACATGTGTTTCCATTGTTCTCCATCAATCTCCCAGCCTCTACAAATAACTATCAAGTGCAACTGATTTCAGAAACTTTTTCAACTATCCTCAGCAGCCCTGTGACCACATAAATATTTAACCAATTTACAGCTGAAGAAACAGAAAGAAAAAACCAATAAATTTGCCAAAGTCTCTTCTTGGCTTAATGCTCCAGGAATTAAACCACAGTCAGCCTCTCAAGTCCTACAATTTCTGTTTAACAGGACAACCTTTCTTCAAAACATTTTAGGACTCAGCCCATTATTTTTCATACATAATGTTCTTTATCAGCCAAAAAAAGTTCTTCTACCCACAAAATTCAGTGAGTTTGTGTATGCTGTCATCTCAGTCAATTCTGGGAAAGTGTCTCTCCTGCTCATTATACAAGCAACTTGCAAAAGACGAAGATCATCCTCACTTTTCCCAAGAATTGCCTTATTTGAAATAATAATCAATCTTCCTAATTTATGAACTTTGCATCCTAAAAGAAGCCAATCAGTTGACTTCCAGGGCAATTATCATGCAACCAACCTAATGAAAGTCTTATAACTGGGTGAGGGAGAAGATCAGGTTTATATATAAAGCCCTGATCATCACATAAATACTAACATTAATATTTGACCATAAAATACTTGGAGAAAAGTATATTTTAAGATACAAACCATGTTCAATAGTTTTAATTAGTCTCCAAATCATGTGATCAGAATTATTTGGCCCATGTAAATTCTCAGCATATTTCCCTCAATCTATCATCTCAATACCTCCAGATTACAACTGCACTGCACATCTAATTACACCTTTGCTACACACTGCCATTTAATTTCAATTTCAGAAATTATAGGAAAATGTATGTTTATTTAGCTTAAGTAGGTATCCACAATTACAGCAGCAGAGATACATCCTCTGTTACAAGAACAGTGTGTCTTCTCTGACATTTATTTAACAGAGAACATTTGTGGTTTTAGGTAATTGGTTGCACACTGACTGGGAGGTCAGGATACATTATATACCAAAATTGCAAATAGACAGAAAGTATACAGAAAATATCAAGGGACTTTCTTTGCCTTTAATCCTTTAGAAATTGTCACCTGTTCTAGAAAAAGCTGCTTCATTTGCCTCAATATCTCAATATCATCATGTTTTTATTTCTTTCTGAAAAATCATTATGCTGACAGACTCAAAACCAACAAAGTAGCAAAAGTTGTTCTACCAGATGTACCCATTTCCTGCATTCAAACAACCTTGAGCCCTCCCTGAACAGAATTACACATCCAGAAAAAACAGAAACTGCTCTCGACTGGAGAAGGTCATTTCTAGCCCTGTCTCTCCCTGGTATGCAGTGCTTTCCCTTAATTAGTCAATCTGTCACTACAGAAGGGAATGTGCTAAATTAAAATCATGTGAACTGCAATCCAAGCACCAAAAAAACTCACAAATAATAAAATGCAATGTTACTATCACTGGCTCTCATCCAAAGACTTTGGCTTGAAAGTATAAGCTAGTTTAATAAACTGATCTGAGTTCAGGGACCTGAGTTTCTTTAGAACAGAGGGCAGAGAGGCATCAGGCTACATGAAAGGTGCCTAGAAAGGTTCCTGTTCAGAGAAGCTAGAAATACATTTTCATTCAGCTTTCTGAAGTTTTAATGTATAAATCCTAAGTTTTATAACAATCAGAAGTACTAACTCCACAGCAATATAGAACTGAAGAACTTTCTTACTCCTGAACTGAAAAATTAGAATATTTAACACCTTTTCTTTGAGCAGTTCAGTGCAGCAAACATTTCAAGTGCATGCATTGATCCAGACTTACAGAGAACCTGTTTGGTATTCAAACCTGCCAGCAAGGGTGTGTGCAGAGCTGAGCCAGTGATTAACTCTGGATAAACCCCTGTGTCTACAGGCAGGGTCACACACCTTCCATTCTGCAAAGGACTGAATCTGAATCTGTTTGAATTCCTCACTGCAACAGCATCAAATACCTGCTTGGAGATGTGTGGGCACACATTGTGCTGTCACTCCATTCCCCCCCCAGCTCAGAACCTCACAAGGACTATTTCCCACTAGTAACAACACAGCCACTGCTCAGAAGTCATTCATCTAAGAAACCATTTCCAAATCACAGTTTTTTAGAAGACACAACTGAACAGCAGAGTTCATTCTGATTTTGAGATTCCTGGCCAACAATTATAATTTGCTACCTATTTGGAACAGGCAATTTTGATTACATTCAGCCAAATTCCATTCAAACTGAGTAATTAAAGACAGGATTCTAAAAAGGCTTGTTGTCCAAACTTCTCAATTTTACCACCCACGTGCAAAAAGCAGTAACACAGTAATTCATACTGATAACTGAAGAACAGTGCAGGGACAAACAGGGACCAACAAGTCAGAGCCAGTTCAAGCGCTCACCAAAGAGAAGCAGGGCACTGGGTTACAGAGGGTCCTTCAAACCACCACAGATAATTTAAGAAAAGGCTCCAAACTAATTAGAAACCTGGGAAGCTTTCTTCCTGTTTCCAAGGCCAGGACCAACTATGCAGGCAGAGCTGATTAATTTGATCTAAAAGCTTCACAAACCTGCCTGGACACCTCTGAGCTTTTACACACAATAAAAACCTCTGATATGAACACCACTGTTTCCATTCACAGCCTGAGTTTTCATAGGGCTTCCCCACCCCTGCCAGAACGAAAGGTGGATGCTTCCATTCCCTGGATTTGACTGCAAATAGCAGAGTCAAACAGATTGTGCACCTGCCTGTACCTATCAAGCCAGAATTACTTATCCCTTGCAAAGGAACTACACAACATTGAAATCTGACAGATGAATATGCAAATGAGCAGGAAGGAAAAATGGGGGGATAAAACTCTAACCAAACAGCTAGCAAAACAAGACAGGTAAAAGTGATGACAAATAATTACATAAAACAAAGAAGGACAGGGAAAGATGCTGGACTTCATCATCAAAATAAACAGTCATTGTCTCATAGAATGAAAAGGCAGACAGAGGTTTAAAGAGAAAAAATACACTAAGTAGGATAGTCAACTACTACTCAACATGATATAAAATAAGTTTCATTGATGCTAACTGAATTTTTTTTATTAATACTGGATATCTATAAAACATTGGAAGTTTTCCAGCAAAAAGTCCCATTAGAGCAGAATCTGTCAAACCACTCCTGTGACTTCTTCCTGCTATTTGATGAGCTTCATCAATTAAATGTATATATAAAAACAAGCTCAGAACATCAAATATGGTGAGCCTACACATTAAATTCTCTTAAAACTACAGCAAGCAGATACAGAAACAGCTCTGCTGGAACAAGGCTCACCTTGTCCTTTCTAATAGGCTTATCCTAAAAGCTGGCAAGTGCCACAGATGTGGTTTTATTAAGACTTGTGAGCTGACAAAAGCAGCTACTTACCTACTATCGGTGTCCAGACCTACGAAATCCTTCTTCTCAAAAGGAACACAGAGCAGGGGGATCTTGTCTCCAGACTTATCAGTGGCTCTGTCAAGACGCTTGGACTCCAGCACTATGAAGAGGGACTCGATAAAATCTTCTATTCTCTTCTCCACAGTTTCACACTCATCATAACTGGGATAAAACGCCACATCTGTGCGGGGCTGCTCTGCAATCTCTCCTTGAAGCCCAAAGACAAACAACCGAGAATCATAGAGAGTAGAGCCGTACATTTCCTTCTGGAGATGGAATTTTTCAAAAGTCTGAGGCCATTCCTTTGCTGAAGAGCACTCTGTGATCGTGATCAGCCCCACGACCTTGCGGTGTGTCTGGAAATCCCCCCACTCGTTGTTCTCTGGGGGATAGTGGTGCCTGTATCGGATGTAGAGCACTCGCTGCGAGTCGCGCACGTTCACCTGGCTCACGGCTGAAATCCGCTTGTAGATCCTGAAAAAGCTCTCTTCAGGGACAATGCCAATGGGCTGGACCACCACCAGGAGGGTCTGATGATCCTCAGCACACTGCATGTAGTCAGGAACACTCATTTTGCATCAACTGCAGGCTAGTGGAAGAAAAACGCATATTATTTTTTAACCTTCAGAAGTTCATGGGACTGCAGGATCAAAGCACGGCTTTGATGCTAAACACTTCTGCAGCCTGAATTTATGTGCTACAATACCACTGTTTGTTTCATTATTTTACTAAATCTTCAACCATGCAACCTACTGGTGTTACACTGTGCACAAGGAGTACTTTTAGTCACTTATCAAATAAAACTCTGTAAATAAGGGTTTTCCAAGTGAATCTCACTCCCTGTGCAGCTACACAAGCCAGCTCACACAAGTCTCTACCACAGCCACTGGGCAGAAATACCAGCTCAGGAGAGCCTGTCAGACTCAGGCTCTTCAGTCCCATTTTATTGGGGAAATATGCAAAATTGTGTGGTGTAAGGTGTAAACAAGTACCAAATCACGATCACCAAACTTTATACAGCTGTCAGTGTTCACATGCGGCCAAGCAGAGGAAAATCAGGACCAGAACATCTATTTTTGAGGAAAAGCAAAGTCTTGCTTTCTCAAAACACACACAGGTAAGGACCAGGAAATGTTTTCTGCCTTTACATTGAAGTATTTAGAATCCCTTTTCTCCTGAGCTCTCTAAAACCGATTATTGCACTGCAGCTGAGTCTTGAATGAAGATGCACATCCCTGAATCCTTTCATGTCTGAGACCTCCTGGACCCCACGGATCCCTTCGTGAATTTCAGCTCCAAAGCCCTGAACCGTAAATACCACCAAAAAAACCATAAACAAAACCCCAAACCTCCACAAAAACAAACACACGGACAAAACAAAACAAAACAAACTCAGCCCAACTTTAGACTTGACACCATTGGTTTTACAAACAGAACGACGAGTTCCGAGCCCACGGGGACACAGGTGAGAGAGAAACAGCTGCCTGGAGGAAAGGCTCCTCACAACTACGGACTGTAGCTCCCTTATCCCACTGCACTGCCCGGGGTCTGCCCAGCAGAGCAGCCCCATTCCCGGGGCGCAGCCCCATTCCCGGGGCTCAGCCCCATTCCCGGGGCGCAGCCCCATTCCCCAGGGCTGCAGCCCCGTCCTGCCACTTCCCTCAGCAGAGGCCGCAGCGGGTGGGAGCTCCCCCCTTTCCCCGTCCCCGGGCATACGCCGCTTTGGGCCGGCCAAGTTTAGCAGGGGAAAGGGATAAACTGCAGAAGAGCCAAGCGCGGCGGAGGCGCAGAACCCCCTGAGCCCCGTCAGGGACAGCGAAAGGCGCGGGGGAGCTGCTCTGGGACAGCGGCTGCCGGGTGGTAACCGGGGAAGGGGCACTGACAGCCCGGCAGGAGCCGATCTTTGGGCAGCGAGGGTGGGCGGTAACCGGGGAAAGGGCACTGGCAGCCGGGACGGGAACCGCTCTAGGATGGGGGGACGCGGCTGCCGGGCGGGAAGCGGGGAGGCGGCACTCACAGCCGGGACGGGGGGACGCGGCTGCCGGGCGGGAAGCGGGGAGGCGGCACTCACAGCCGGGACGGGGGGACGCGGCTGCCGGGCGGGAAGCGGGGAAGCGGCACTCACAGCCGGGACGGGGGGACGCGGCTGCCGGGCGGGAAGCGGGGAAGCGGCACTCACAGCCGGGACAGGAGCCACCCCGCCGCCGCCGGAACTGACGGCAATGGCCGCTCCGCCCCGCATGCGCGGCGGGCCACGGCGGGAGAGTCGTGAGGGGAGCGCGGCGATTCTCCGCCGTTGTCCGCGGTGCTGCTCCCGGGGCTTCCACGGAGACTGGAAGCCTCTGTCTGTGAACACGAGGCATTGCTCCAAGAGCAACGCAAAACAGGAGTGGACGAATGACGATTCACCTGGTGAATTTCAGCCGACTGTGTATGAAAACCTACAGGGCTCTAGCTAGCCCTTAGAACGAAGTGAGCCTTCCTGGCATTCCCAAATTCCGAAACTGGTCTGGTGCCATAGAATCATCCAGTCCAACTGTCAACCCAGTAGTGTCACTGTAACCCCTAAACCACATCGCCAGACTCAGATGAAACTCTCCCAGGAATGGTGATTCCACCCCTGCCCCGGGCAGTGTATTCAAATACCAGACCACCTGAACAGTAAAAAAAACCCTTTTTCTTTTAATATCTAATCTGCATCTCTCCTCTCTCAAGTCCATTTTCTCCGGTCCTCACACCGCTGGCACACCAAGAGAGGCCAGCCCCAGCTCACTACAAGGTCCTTTAAAGCAGTTGTAGGGAGCGATGAGGTCCCCCTGAGCCTCCTCAAGAAGAGAGAGATCTTTCTCTGAGAGGATTTCTCAGTCATGTAGCTTAAATGGCAAAATCTTGAAAACTTGAAAGTATAAAAACTCCAGAAGTATGAGCCTTGTATGAAAGTTCAGGTGAATTTCTGGGGGAAATTCAGGTGAATTCCTGGTGGGAACCTTAATGATGCAAGTGTGAGATGCTGCACCTGAATGACCAAACCCTGGTATCAACACAGGCTGGGGAATAAGTGGGTTTAGAGCAGCCCTACCAAGAAGGACTTGGGGGTGCTGGTGGAGGAGAGGTTGGATGTGAGCTGGCCATGTGTGCACTTGCATCCAGAAAGCCAAATATGTCCTGGGCTGATCCCACAGTGTGGGCAGGAGGTGAGGGAGGGGATTCTGCCCCTCTGCTCCACTCTGGTGAGACCTCACCTGCAGTGCTTCATGCAGGTCTGGAATCCCCAGCACAAGAAACTTCTTGGAGCAGGTCAAGAGGAAGCCATGAAGATCAGAAGGTTGAAGTGCCCCTCCTATAGAGACAGCCTGAGAGAGTTTGAGTTGCTCAGCCTGGAGAAAGGTCCAGGGACACCTTATTGCAGCCTTTCATAAGGGGCCATGTCATGACTTAAAGTAGTGGCACTCCAACAAAATAACTTCAATAGAACTTGCAGTGTTTGAAAAATATGGATCAACAATTGCATTTAGGTAGAATCACAGAATCATTTAGGTTGGAAAAGACCCTTAATATCATCAAGTCTAACCTAGTACTGTCAAGGCCACTTCTAAACCATGTCCCTAAGAGCCCTATCTACATAGCTTTTATATCCCTCATGGGATGGTGACTCAACCACTTCCCTTGGCAGATGGTACCAATGCTTGACGACCCTTTTGCTGGAGATTTTTTTCCTAATATCCAATCTAAACTTCCCCTGGCACAACTTGAGGCCATTTCCTCTTGTACTGTCACTTGTTACTTGGAAGAAGAGATTAACCCTCACCTGGCCACAACCTCTTTCCAGGTCTCCTCAGCCACTGTGGCACAAGCTATGGGCTCCAGGCAGGTCTCTCTGCTCCTCTTGCCTTTCCCCAATTTGGGAGACGTGAGGAAAAACAGCAGCATAAAAGGAACTGAACAAGCTTTAGCCTTGACCTTCAGTTATCTTCCACAAAATGGACAAAATTTCCCAGAGGGGAGGGAGCTGGAGATATGGCAGCACCAGCTGGACTCAGAGTCTCAGACAGAGGCTGACCAAGCCCAACAGCAGCACAGCCTTAGAGCCAGGGAGGGATGGGGGAGCGCTCAGCCCAGTCACTCACAGCCTCCCTTCTCCTGCCTGGGGCAGCTCCTGCTCCCTTTGTCCCTTCTCTGGGAGACAGTGACTCACAGAGGCACCTACACCTGGCCAAGCTCTCACTGGCAGAGGGGAAAAGAGCAGCTCTGAGGAGCTCAGAGCATCCTTCACCTGTGCCTTCTCACCACCAAGCTCAATGTCCTCAGAAATCCTGGCAGTTTGATGAGGGTTTATTTGTATATTGAAATCATGAAAGACCCCGGTAGTATTTTTAAGAAATTCACTGCTGGAGCAATGTCAGCTGTCTCCACAAGATGTCACAAGACAGTAAGGATAAAGAAAGAAACCAGTCCTTCCAGACAACATCCCAGGATATTTGTGCTTCCTTTCAGATATAACATACACACAATGGCCTCATATAAAATGTAATCTCAAAAGGATTATACAGCCTAAGAGATATGGATTATTTGCAATAGCTAACTATAAATGATGTCCCCAAATGCAGGAATTCTGGAATTTATAATATATTGTTGTAATTCTTGCACTTCCAACTGTTCACAGTGCTATATTTTATTAATAAATCACTATAATCTGTAGCCTTGGCCTTATGTACTGGGCAAATTCTGTATAAGGTAGTAACATTCAGTCAATAAACTCCATGTATTTTCCATTTAATGATTCTTCATGGGTACATTCCTTTCTCCCCTAAATTCCATGTGAATTATTATTGTATATTTTGGAAAAGGTCCTGCTCTTCTCTCATTAAGTAGAGATAATTTAGTGACTTTAGCAGATTTCTTACCAATACAAACCATCAGGCATGTTGTTTGTAAAGCACGATTAAAACCACTAATGAATTAATGCAAACAATGTGTCATCACTTCTGGAAGTGCTCACTCACCCTGCAGCTCTCACCCAAACAGGCAGAGGCAAACTTCTGGAGCAAACACTCCCAGCATCAAAACCCCATCCACAAGCACGTTACAACCTTCCCATGCAGCAGGCCCACAGTGTAAACGTGGGGAATGTGTTAATAATGAAGATGCAGCCCCATCATCACTTCATAGTTTACACGTGCCCTCCACACCTCCCCCACAGCTCTGACAAGTGTCAGGATGACCAGACACATTCCCTGGTACTGTACTACAGCTGCAGAGGCGTTGAGCAGCCTGTAATTACAGTTGGGGTTAACAATTTTGTAAGCAGTGGCCTGTAATCAGGATACACACAGGAGATGTCCAGTTTCCATTAAAAACAAGCTCCTCACCCTCCTGTGCCAGCCTGGGGCTGAGGAGCCATGATGAGAGCTGAGGACGGGGAACCCCCAAGGCTGCTCCTGCCTGCCCTGGGGCAGCAGGAATCCACCCAGGTGGGAGGAGTGACTGGAAAGCTGCTCAGCACAAGATGACCTGGTGGAAAAGGACCTGGAAGTGCTGGTTGAGAGCAGCTGAACGTGAGATGCTGTGTGCCCAGGTAGCCAAGGAGGCCTCCTGAGCTTCTGTGTCAGCACCAGTGTGGCCAGCAGGACCAGGGCAGTGATTGTCCCTCTGTGCTGGGCCCTGGGGCGGCCACACCTCGAGTGCTGTGTCCAGTTCTCGGCCCATCAATTTAGGGAGGACATTGAGGTCCTGGAGCATGTCCAGAGATGGGACACAAAGCTGGTGAAGGGGCAGGAGCACAAGTCTGAAGAGGAGCAGCTGAGGGAGCTGCAGCTGTTTAGTCTGGGGAAAAGGAGGCTCAGGGGTGTGACCTCATCACTCTGCAGCCACCTGGTGATCGGTCACAGGTTGGACACGATCATCTCAGAGATCTTTTCCAGCCTACTCGATTCTGTGATTCTATGAAGGAACTCGCAGCCGGAGCCGCCGGTGCCTCAGCCCGCTCGGGTATCCCGGGTCCGCTGTCCGCCCGCGGCGGAGAGGAGAGCGCCGGTGGGGCCGGGGTGCTGCAGAGGGAGCGTCCCTGTGTGGGTCCCGGTATTGCAGGGAGATGTAGGGAGCTGTAGTCCCGGTGCGGGCGGGTCCCGGTGCTGTAGGGAGCTGTAGTCCCGTTGCTGTAGGGAGCTGTTGGGAGCTGTAGTCCCGGTGCTCTAGGGAGCTGTAGGGAGCTGTAGTCCCGGTGCTGTTGGGAGCTGTAGTCCCGGTGCTCTAGGGAGCTGTAGGGAGCTGTAGTCCCGGTGCTGTTGGGAGCTGTAGTTCCGATGCTCTAGGGAGCTCTAGGGAGCTGTAGTCCCGGTGCGGGCGGGTCCCGGTGCTGTAGGGAGCTGTAGTCCCGGTGCTGTTGGGAGCTGTAGGGAGCTGTAGCCCCGGTGCTGTAGGGAGCTGTAGGGAGCTGTAGTCCCGGTGCGGGCGGCTCCCGGTGCTGTAGGGAGCTGTAGTCCCGGTGCTGTTGGGAGCTGTAGGGAGCTGTAGTCCCGGTGCGGGCGGCTCCCGGTGCTGCAGGGAGCTGTAGTCCCGGTGCTGTTGGGAGCTGTAGGGAGCTGTAGTCCCTGCAGCCGCCGCCTACAGCTCCCGGCGGGCCTTGCCCTCGCTGCCGCTGGGACGGGCTGAGATGGCGGCGGCGGCGCGGCTGACCGGCACCGAGAACCGTCTGGTGTCCCTGCCCCTGTCGCGGATCCGCGTCATCATGAAGAGCTCCCCGGAGGTGTCCAGCATCAACCAGGACGCGCTGTTCCTCACGGCCAAGGCCACGGTACCGGCTCGCCCTGCCCTGCCCTGCCCTCGGCCCCCCGCACCTCCCCGTCCCCGGCTGAGGAGCCTCTGCCCTCGGAGCGCTGCCGCGGCCCCGGGCCGGGCTCCCGCTCCCCTTCTCTGCCCGCATCCCGAGTCTAGAATCACAGGATGGTTTGTGTTGGAAGGAACCTGAAAGAACATCCATTTCCAAAGCCCTGCCACGGGCAGGGACACTCCACTGTCCCAGGTTGTTCCAAGCTCCGTCCAGCCTGGCCTTGGACGCTTCCAGAGATGGGGCGGCCACAGCTTCTGTGGGCAACCTGTTCCAGTGCCTCACCACCCTCCCAGGGAAGAATTTCTTCCTAATATCTGATCTAAACCTACTTTCTGTCAGTTTGAAGCCATTCCCCCTTGTCTTGTCATTACATGCCCTTGTAAATAGTCTCGCTCCATCTTTCCTGTAGATTCTCTTCAGGTACTGAAATTTAATGAGTGTCTGCACTGAGTGCCCAGTGTATGTGCAGTTAAATACGGTGCTTCTGCCTTTAGATAGGGATCTATGACGTGTGAATTGTTAGTCTGACTACGCAGTTTTGTTTTAATATTTTAGGAGCTTTTTGTTCAGTATTTGGCTACATACTCCTACAAACACGGCAGAGGGAAGGAGAAGAACGCTCTGACGTACACTGACCTGTCTCATACAGCAGAAGAGTGTGAGACCTTTCAGTTCCTTGCAGGTATTGATAACACAAGGGTAAATCCAGGGTCTGCTTTGGAAAATGAAATCTTGCTCTTAATGCTCTGTTCTGTGAGGACCCAGTTCTGCTGGTCATTGATCTCCTGCTTAGCATTCAACTGGAACTCATAAACTACTTCCCTGAAAACATTTCTTTGTGAATGGGGATATTTCTGCTGCCTCTAAATTATACAGTTACACTGTATACAGTTCTCAGGATATTGCCTTAAGCATTTCCTAAATTGCAGCAGTTCCATCTGAAAGCTTTCAGCTTGTGGAAGAAGATTATTGCACATCTTCAGGTGAGAAGTTATGTGGACTAAAAGTGACACACTGGAATCTATAAGTTTTGAGAAAAGCAGCATATGGTCCCCCTATGCATCTAGATAGATACACACACACACACACACACGTTTTTACTGATACTTGGATTTTATATTAATGGCTCGTTGGATCTAAGGCAGTTGAGCACTCTGTTTTATATCAAATAATTTACATTAGCAGACAGTAAAAGTTGCCAGTAATCAGTCATGAAATAGAGTCCTTATCTTTGGTTACTTGTGCCATAAGTGGGTAACTCCCTCCTGCTCTTACAGCAGTGTGTGAGTCAGGCTGACTTACCTGGTTATTCACCTAAGGTTTGTTAAAAATATTAGTATTTCTTTCTGACTTCATTTCTTCAGTGGTTTGGATGCAACAGTATTAACATGGCAATGCAAGTGTTCAAATTGACAATTAAAACAACAATTCTGCCTTTCAGATATCTTGCCAAAGAAGATCCTAGCTAGCAAATACCTAAAAATGCTTGAAAAAGAGAAGCGAGATGGAGAAGTGAGGGAAGATGATGATGAGGCTGAGGAGGAAGAGGATGAAGATGAAGCTGTTGGTGACAGTGTTGGATCTTAAGGCCAATGGAGAATTGTTTCATAGTTGATCCATTTTTCTATTGTATAAAAGGATGTTATTTTTGTGACTGAGAATCCAGATGCTGGATGTATTTTTACACTGAGCCATCTGCTTTTGCTTTAAGAAGTTTAGAAATTGAACTTTATACTCGTTGGAGAATGGAATTCTTCCCTCAGAAACACGGCAGGGTAGGAAGAGACAGTGCAAACCTGACAGCAGAGCTTGGTCAGGTGATTTGAAATGACTTTGTCAGACAATCATTACCCAAATTTAAAATTTCTTACAGGCAGCTTTCAGTTCAAAAGCTCCAAAAGTGGACCAAGTCCATTAAAAAAGTCTGTGAAAGCAGCCATGTGGGCACCCAAATGGGAGAGGAGGAGATCCATCCCAAGAGCTAATGGTGGTTCTGTAGCTGTGGTGGTAAATGGGGTAGGAAATTATGTAAATATGTGCATCCAGAACCCTTTTCTTGAATGAACTCCAGTTCTGCAGTTTCTCTTGCCAAAATGCACATTGAAGTCTGTTAATTGTGGGTTCTTGAGAAAGAGCAGCTCCTTTACCATGTGAGTGACAGAGATGGATTTTTCATTTGGTTTTGGTTTGCTTTTCTTTTTGTACTACAGAAATGGCAACCATCCTGTGTAGAACTTTACATGCAACTTTTTAAAATAAATGTTTTGTATGAAAACTTGACAATGGATGAAGAAACTTCTGTAGTTCTTTCCAGTTTCAGTTACACACGTGGTCACTGTGGCAATATCTGAAAGAGAGAAGTGACCAAGATCTGTCCCCAGGGGTGAAAAATGCCCCAGGTAAGCAAGGTGAGATCAACAGGTAATAACAACCTCCCACTCCAAAAAAGCTGGGCAGCAAATCAGCCAGGAATTTGTGTCAAGCAACAGCCTAATATGGAGGGCATGGTAAAGAGTTAGCAGAATTGAACAGCTGAACAATTTCTCTTGGGTTGAAGGCACAACCACACTCAACTTCTCTTAAAACATAGCAGGGAGCTCCAGCATATCCACAATCCAGCACATTCCATATTCTAAGAAAGCCAAGTGGAGCTTAGGCAGGTAGGGTCAGGGGCTGGCAGAGCTCCTGAGCCACACCAGAAATGCTCCTGCTGTTTTAACAGATCAGAGGATGCTTGCACTGTAAGAAATTTTCCTGAAGTTGCCATAAATGAAAATCATATTGTACCAGGAATTCTGCAGTGAGTGCTGAGTGGGGCTGGATCCCTGGGGAAATTCCCAAGTGGGTAAAGGCAGAACTAAACCATTGTTCCAAGAGCTGGTTTGTGCTTTTTTATTATTAAAAGTGCATGGAGATGGGTGGAAAACTGAGTGTGGAATGCTGTTTGGGGGGAGGGGGTGCCAGTTTTTTGGGAAAGAAAAAAAGATCCACCAGCACAAATTCACACAGTGAATCTCCAGCAGAAACGGGGATGAGAGCAACAAGCAAATACCTGAACCATGGATGGGTCACAACCAAAGAGAGGAACATCCTCAAACAGCCCTGGCAAGGGTCTGACCACAGCCCTATCCTCAACCCTCACCCTGGGGCAGGAGGGAGAGGGGAAAAGGGACTGGGAAGGGGGTGGAAGGTGTTTTAATTCCACCTAATTTGTCAGTAAATGATTTCATTTTCCCTCCAGTCACATCTGCTTTACCCATTGCAGCAGCTTTTCAGTGACCTCGCTGTCTATACTTCAACCCTTGAGCTTTGTAACCCTATTTTCTCCCTCTGTGCCAACTGCATCATTTAACAGGAGCTTCCTCAAAAATGACCAAGTATCTTGACCTGTTTAAGATGTTGTGAGATTTTAGGCAGTGGAACAAGGCCAAGGGACACTTTGAGATTAATTATTATTATTACAGACATGTTTCTATCATTTTTCCCCCCACAACAACAGCTTGTGAGACCCTTCCCCACCCCAGCCAGTGCTGCTCTCAAAGGACATGAAGTTTCCTAAACTTGCCAAAATTACAAAAGAACTGTGGTTACTAAGTATAAATCACCACATTTCATCCCTCTCAGAAGCTTCCTGTGGGATGATGAACATATTCTGTGAATTCCTGAGCCCAGAAGAATGTGCACACCCTTCTGGATTCATTCAGCCAGAATCCTCGATGGGAACTTCAGAGCTGCCAAAATTTGCCACAGCCCTCTCCAAGGCCCTGCAGCTGCCAAAGCTCATTGCCATCAAACCAGTGAAGGGTTATTTGTTTTCCCCAAGAGCCTGACCCAGAGCAAAACCTCATCCAATTCAAAGTGGTGTTTCAAAAAACAATGGAAAAAATAAAAGGAAGAGACAGCTCTGACAGTATTTCAGTATATTACTGAGTAAAACCAATCTTGCAGGGTTGGGCTCCCAAAGGAAGCTCCATGGCATCCCTTCAATTCTGTTGGATGCTTTATAGTCACCACCAGGTGCTACATTTTCTTCATTTAAAAACTGATCACTGTAAGGATTCACTCAGAAAAAAAAACTTAAATAAAAAAAAAGAATTTCAGGCGTGTGGTTTCCAAAATGTTCATCTTCCCAAAAGAATTCCAGGATTACAACTTGTAAGCAGATAAAGCAGCATGGACTGTGCCTGGCTGGGCACAGAGGGTGGAAGCACAGGGAAACATCCAAACACAAGGGGAGAAATGCAAGGCAAGGCAATGGACCGGAGATTTTGGCAGAGTCTCACAGTGCACAAGTAACTGCAGAAAATGCCCAAATGTTAAATGAAAAGACATCAAACAATATCTTGTAAAGATGAGGAATTTTATTTTATTGACATACTATGAGGCAAAACAAAATCGACACCATACAAAATAACTTTATAAAATATCATTCACATCATTATTTTGTCAGGAATTACAGCATTCTGAGCTTGTTACAAGTCTTATGTTTTGAGGTGAAAAACACTATGCTAAATCTTTAGTATTAGTTGTATATATACAGTAAGAAACCAGAACAGAACCTGTTAGGTTTTTCATGAGTTTATTGCAAAAGTAGTGCAAACTATTTTACCTTGCAAGCTGTAAAACAAACTTGGAAAAGGACCCACCTAAGCTTAAAAACATGACAATAAATGCTCGATTTCACAGCCTTTGAAGCTTCCTTCAACAGTTCTCAACAAAAATTCCCCATCTCTGCACATTTTTAGATCTTCACTGACTCGGAAATGAAGGAGTAGAGGGTGGACCTGCAGTAGGGAGCAGGCAGAGAGCAGGAGGGTCCTGCTCCACCATGGGGCACTGCTCTTACCCATGGATTTGGGGAATCACCCCCAAAACACCCACCAGTGGGGCACATTTGGTCACTGTGTGCCCCCATTAATCAACTGCCCCTTTCCACACTCGTATTTGAGAAAAGAGTCAAGAAAGCAGAACGAGCCAAAAACAACCCACAAACCATAATTAAGGATTAGGAACATGTATTGTCTGTTTTAGGAATATAGTATCCTTCTTCTCCTTTTCTGAAGTCTATAAAGCAAATTTCCATGGTCCCCCTCCCCGTGTGTACACACTGCAGGGCACATCCCACCCCAAACTCCTGCAGGATCCCAAGGCAGGATACTACATTCTGTGAGATCCAGAGAAAACAACGGCCTAAAACACTACTGGGGTCCCCCAAAGCAAACAGGTAGCTAAGTCGTCTCCTAAAAAACCAGAAAAGCAAATAAATGCTACATGAAAAATGTTAAAGAAACAAAATGCAGCATATTCAGGCTCTTTTTTATTTTTTATCTTGAGGTACCTATATAAATATTACCTTCTGCCCAAAGAACGATTGGTTTTGTTAAAAAACTAAAGTCCTTATCACGAGCCAATTGCAGGGCAAACATTATTACTGAGAAAGTGCAACCATGCTGATCATTTATCTGCAGCATATTAAAGGATGATTAGGCTTTAGAAAATATAGCTTAAGTCTAGACCTGATGGAGCAGTTTTATAAAAACACTGAACAGAGGCATTTTCCTTTTGCTCGAGTCTCTCTGCAACAGAAAGCCTTAGGAAACAGCTGGGAAGTCCTGCCATGATGGAATGCACTTTTACAATCCCATATATAGATTTTTTTTTTCTTTTAATATTTAAACTAAATACAATTTTACAGCAAAGATTCCCCCTCTGCAGTAGGTACTGGTAAATAGTGGATTTTTAAAAAATTTTTCAAACTTCAAAAAATGATAGCATATCACAACTTAAAGCTTTCCAAAAAGGAATTCTTTTTGAGTAAAAAAGGTTCACATAGTAGAAAAAACTTACACATAGTTGTAAACTGTTACATACAAAACTGTGGAAAGTCAATGATGTTTTATTCCCTCACCCTTACATGTGTACCCCTTCATTTTATATTTATATATATACATATACACAAAGTCATGTGCTATGTACATATATAGAGACACAGAGATGTAGAGATCTGGGGTCAGGATTAAAGATTTCCAAAACTTTCTTTGTTGGCTATTTCTCTTTGCCTAGGTCAGCTGTGATACTTGATTTTACAACTTGCTACACCAAAAAATATTTTCAAATTCAGTTTTTTGCGGTGCAGTTAAAAACCATCTGCTGTTTTTAATCAGGAAGATGAGTTTTGATTGTTGTGCACTGGGGAGAAAAAAACACAAAGGCACAAAGAATAGAACTCAAATCCAAGATTGGTGTCTCAGAACAAGAAACCCAAGGGTTTGGGCCGCGGATGGGGTCGGTTTGGTCGCCTTTGCCAAATCTCCTTGACAATTTGAGTAATTAGCACCCAACTGGTTACATGAGGTAGATCCAAATTGGAAAAAAAATAAAATAAAAGCAAGCTGGGTCCCCAACACTTTTTTTTTTTTTTTGCCTCTATTTAAAATGTTTTAAGGATCCTATGTCAGTCATAAAAAGTGGAAGCAATGGCACCTACCCGAAAGCAAGCACGGAATTCAAGAATGGCTTTTTCTGGGATGTAAAATTTGAAGTGTTAAATCACAATCCTCCTTCAGGCAGAGATTTGCTGGCAGGGGGAGGGAGGAGAATAGGTCTGACAACAAGGACAACACAAAGCTGGGCTTTGGGAAAGCCTGTTTGGGGTCAGCTGCCAGAGGAATGCCCGGGAGCCTGTGACAGCCAGCGCCCAAAGAGGCATCACAGTACAGAGAGCTACAGGTGTCCCTTGTTCCTCAGGGCAGGAGACTGCCTTGGCTAACACTGAAGCTCTACAGGAACAGCCCCCTGTAGTTAAACAGTATTTCTGCATACTCTGAGAGAGGAATCTGACACGGTTAGCATTTAGTTAAGGCTTAGTTTAAAGTGGCCTGGCCACAGAGCATCACACAAGTGCTCACCCAGGGCAGCAAGAGAAGCAATGGGTGAATCCCACCCCCTGTGACCCCCCAGCACTGCCAAGTGATGCCACAACCTCCATGGCAAACCCTGCAGTGCCAGGGATGCCCTGCACATCAGCTGAGGGTAATTCTGGGCCTGGTTTTGCATTACAAGTGCTACTCTCACCCAGCCAGCACCAATCATTTCTATACTGCAAGCACAAGACAGCTCCACAGAGATGCAACACACACACAACACTACTCAACAAACATTTAGTACCACTTGGAACAACCTTAACATCATAGCTTTCTTTTTTCCTCAGGAAAAAAACAACAAACAAACAAACCTTAAATGGTCACAGAAGCATTTTGATTGGAAGGAACATTTACAATACG